AGATTTGCCAGAGTCTGCTTTAGTCCTCAGCCTGCACTCTTTTCACCTAACTCCATTTCTCTCCTCAAACATCCTTCTGACCTAACCACTTTGGGAACCCTTGAAAGTAACTAACCATTAAACGTTAAAACTAGCTCAAGGATTGATGATGTCTCAGAAGACTATGGGTTAATAAAGGTCATGACTTGCTTGCTGAAGACCATATATATGTTTTATTCACCTGGACACAATCTATGGTGAGGGGCAGAGTTAACAAATTTCATTGCCTTTTCAGTTGTAGAAGTGGCTTGAACTATCTCCCACTGCTGAATAACAGGACAGGATGGGGAGGAAAAGTTTCAGCCAAAACAATAATTTCCCCCAAACTCCATGAGTTCACTCATATCTGTGCATCTGGTCTTCATTCCTAGAGTGATCTGGTCATTGTCCGCAGGCCACCCTACTACTGTGCTTGCTGCACATCAGCTCAACTCTCTATGAGGAAGGACTGCAATAAAGAACCAGAAGGGAGGACTGAGCAGGGAAACCCGTTCTGCATTTTGTGGCCATCCCTGAAAGGAAGGGGTTATATTCAACTACACTGGACATTCTTCTTATCTCTGCTCCTTGATACAAATTTTTAGTCACAATCTCAACTTCAACTAACAGATGGAAGCTGGCAGAAGTAAGCATAGTTTTTGTTTATTTCCTAGAGAAACACACACACACACACACAAACACACACAGTGAAGCAGATGCTAGATATTATTTCCTCTCTCTAATTTTGAAAATTCTCTGCAATGACTATGCATGTATTTCACAACTGATAAAAATCATAACCATCATCTAAGCATTTTTCCTCTCAACTCCCACTGCTTTCTCACAGAAGTCTGCATCACTCTTAACTCTGTAGTGTTTTATAAAGCAACAAACAGTAGTAAAACCTACAATAAGAACAGGGGTATTTAAGAGCAAGTGGTAGGAAAAAAAAAAATTTTTAACTGGTGTGATTATTATCTTCACAAAGAAAATAGCTTAAATAGAGGAATAAATAAAAGCATTTCAAAGTCTCAAAAGACCTATTAGGCTGTTCATAAATTTAATAATTATGCATATATAAAAATAATAGATTTTCAGATGATTGGTCCATTTGCAACCCAAGGTTTCATTTTGAAAAATACAAACCAAATTCTTTAAAACTGGCAATACTGATATAAAATAATGGAACATACTACTCTAACAATATTTCATAAATATTCCACACCAACAGATAACAGTAATAACAACACTCTCAACAACAATGGCTGACGTTTATTGAATGCGTTTTAGATATCACTCAAGGGACTAAGTGCTTTAAATGCATAATCTCCTGGAATTGTCAAAGCAACCCAACGATGAAGGTATTTTCTTTTTCTTATCCATATTTCATGGATGAAGAAACTGAGGATTACAGACATTGAATAATTTCAGCATTGGGACTCAAAATCAGTTCTCTCTTAAATACTACATTAAAACCTTCATACCTTTGAAATCAGTTAAATTGGCTTCCAAGATCAACACCTTTTAAGCCAAGACCAACACCTTTTAAGACAATCACCTTCCAGGGATGGGCCAAAAATTGGGCAATGATTGAAATTTTTAAAAATAGCAAACTTATGAAAACTCAAAAAATTTGGAAGAGACAGGACTATTGAAAATAAATGTTAATTTCCATGAAAGAGGGACACCAAAGAACTCATTAGGAAATCCTGAACCACTCAGTAAGTAGAAATTCTACCAAAAGCTTTCCCTGGTTTCTTTCTGGAATCCATGCTTCTGAACTAAAAAGCTTCTTCATTCTTCTTTATTGTCTATATATTTCATACATCATATAAAGCAGATTATGTGGGTATCTGGGGAAAGCATGTATTTAAACCATAACTTTCCAGTCACACTAAGAATATAAAAGTTTATAATTGTGAACCATACCTTGGTTTTCATGAACTTGGAGTGACTTTTGTAAACCTCTATTTGTTTTATCTCTTCTTCGCGGTCCTCAGTGTTCAGCACACCATTGGCTTTTAACATCTGGATCTCATCCTCAAGATCCCTTATGTTTCGCTCCAATGAAGCGATTTTTGTGTCCTGTTGGTAAAAAAAAAAAAAAAAAAAAGAAAAAAAAGAAAGAAAATTGTTTTTTTAATATTATCAAAACAGTTTCAGAAAGCAGTTTCAGTAGTAAAACATTAATCAGGGTGTAGACATAGCCTTGAATTCAGAATAATTTCTTTTTTTCACTTCTGAAGATCACTTGTGAGATTTTTTAAGCTCCCAGTAAACAGCATATGTCAATACAATACAGAGAGTTACCTAGATATGTTTGTCTCATATCTGGGAATCAAATTACCAAAGCAATAGTGATAAAAGTGATCTAAAGTATTAGAAAACAAAAACGTCATTTAAATAGACGAATTTGTAATTTCAGATATAGTTTACCAGTGTATATTTTTGAGTCTACTTGCAAATACAAAAACGGTTTGTTTATGTGTGTATTCTGTGGCTGGTTTTATAAGGCATGCTTGGAATTTGACTGTGAAAGAGAAGGAAATTAAAATCTACTAATGGGGAAAAGGATTCTCATCTAAAATACAGACATAAGTGAAATTAAATAACTGAATCACGACTTAGTATGACTGATACACTAAATATTGAAAATTTATAGCAACTTCAAATAATATATCACACCATGATTTATTTGGCAAGCAGTCAGCTGACTGCGTGACAAAAAGCATTACTACCTTGAAGGGCATTTCTAACCCATTGATTTACAGAGTTAAAAAACTAGAAATATTGCACTGAAATATGGGATTAATTGAGGAAAAACCATAGAGAATTTTTTTTTAAAAGGAAATGACAGACTCCACACACAAGATAGAGCATAATAAGAAATGATGCATTAGAAAGTAGAGAAGAGAGAACTCTTATAGAGGAAAAAAACATTTCCTCAAACCTCAGGTATGAGACTCTTATCCGTCCTTGGAATGAAACACACTGAAAGTCTGACTTCAAGTTTTCTGACTGTCACCATCTACCTGACATTTTATTGTGCAGATTCAAGGAGCTTATATTATATTTGTAATTGAAATTTAATAAAAAATGAGCCACCAATGCATTTTTTTTTTTTTTTTTTACCATTTTTTAGAATCTAAAAGACTAAGGAGTTCCAGAAGTAAAGACAATGAATGGGGCATTCTATTCATAACAACTCATAGAAAAAACTTTTCAACAAATATGTCTGTCCTGATTTTGTGGCTATTTTCTATTTTATTTTCCTATATTATATGCCCAGTGGCATGTTTCCTGTGGCAACATGATAATCATTATTACTATCACTGACATCGCCATCACTGTTAAAAGAGGAAAAGTGAGGAGCAGCAACAGCTGCTTATTGAGCTCCACTGTGTGCCCATATCTGGGGGCTCGGGGCTCTAAGTGCTGAAGACACTTTTATTAATTCTCAGGAAGACCCCCAAGAAGATGAAAGAAAACAATTCTGAAATTTGCAAGACTATTATGGAATGTTACATTCTGTAGTATTTCATTTTACTTTAAAAATATTTATTGTATTTTTTTCAGTTATAAAAGTATAATAATATACTTTAAATTCACAGTAAATGGAGAAAATCCCCTCTATTTCTACCATCCAGTGATAACTATCATGTTTTTATGTATCGCCTGCCAGTCTTTTCCTATTTTAGATGCATATCTGGAAATCTTGTATACTGCCAATTTGAGCGAGGAGAATGTTATGGACTGAACGTCTACGTGCCTCCAGAATTTATATGTTGAAGCACTAACCCCTAGTGTGACTATATTTGGAGATGAGGCCTTTGGGAGGTAATCAGGATTAGATGGGGTCATGAAAATGGAGCTCTCATGATGGGATTAGCACCCTCATAAGAAGAGATACCAGAGAGCTTGTTTTCTCTCTCTGCCATGTGAGAACACAGCAAGAAGGTAGCCATCTGCAAGCCAGGAATAGAGCTCTCACAGGAATCCAACCATATTGCCACCCTGATCTCAGACTTCCAGCCTACAGAACTGTGAGAAAATAAATTTCTGTTTTTTAAACCACCCAGTCTGTGGTATTTCGTTATAGCAGGCCAAGCTGACAAATGTAGGGAGTCTTCCTTAGTGACTCATTTGAGTTCTAAGCTGTGATAACTGTAGATAAAAAGAGCAGCAATAATGAGAAGGCTACGGAAAAAAAAAAAAAAAAAAAAAACTTCCAGAAGTTCATAAGAGCCTTCATAAATAAATGAGTCATTTTAAATCAAGATTTTTTCTGACTATAAAATTGACATGCTCATTATAGAAAACCTGAAAAGCCACATAGATAATTATGATGCCCACCCCAATCACATCATTCCAATCTACCCACTAGTAACAATTTTATTTACCCCCATGAAGGCCTTAAGACTACATGATTTCTTTAAAACATATTAAAAGATAGATCTCTATTAAAACTAATCAACATAATATAGATTTCCCCTCTTTATTGAGATACAATCTTTCAGCATTTACAAATATCTAAGTGCAATCTTTACAAGAGTTAACTGTAAATTAAGTGTGAAAGGGCCAACATTCCTTTCCTTTTTTTTTTTTTTTTGAAATTCTCATAATTTTAATGGTCAATAGCTTCTGGTTGGCTCTGGCTGGTACAGGTAAACAACATACTTAATGATACCACCACCACCACCACCACCCCCGGCACATTCACATCCCCACTGTAGCATTGCTTCCATCACATCCTGCTGCCTGGTCAGACTTCCACAGCCTCAGGCCCCCGTGGGTTATGGAAATCCACATCTTAGTGTGATGAGCTAAAAAAAAAAAAACCCTGGTACACTTGTGATCTGTTATTTCTTTAAAATAACAAACGTGAAGCCAGATGCCTACCCGGGCTCCGCTGCCTCACAGAGCAGCACAGGTGCTATGCCACCTCGCGGGCCGGGCTGCCTGCTCCCCCTACTCCGCCCCGATCATACAGCGCAGAGCTCGTAAATCTTCTTGACGTAGTACACCAGAGCCGCCAGTGCTATCGTGTTGTGCAGTCTCTTCCTGTGCAAGTCGTCCTTCAGGACCAGCACCACCAGGGTGGAGGAGGTGAGTGTGTGCAGGGGCAGCCGGGACAGTCTGTAGGCGTCGTACTCCACCAGGTACTTGCAGCAGGGGTCGAACTGCCAGGAGATGCCGTAGAGGGTGCAGGAGGCCAGGCTCAGCACACCCGCGGGCAGCGAGATATAGTGGGAGTAATCCAGGGGCGGCGCCAGCGGGGTGAAGAGGCAGGCGGTGTCCGCCAGCACGGTGGTCTTGTGCAGGCAGTTGCCCACAGTGATCCAGCGGCCAAAATCTTCTGAGATTTCAGATTCAAGTCTAAAGTAACTATATTTACATGTATATACGTATGTATATATACATGTATAAATATGTTGTGTACTGCAATACGCTTTGTAGTCCCATATTTTACAACTTAAATTCTTGATAGCGTTTGTTAAAATTTCAGGTCTTAATCATGCAGGCAAGGGGAAAAGAAACCCTCAGCTTTCCTCTCAGTCAATTTCTAAGGCTTTAAGTTAGCAATGACCACAGCTGCCAACTTCTAAATGGGTTAAAAAGGAGCTTTTCACTGGACTTCTAAAAATTACATACTGCTAAAGAAAGATCAGAATGGAGTTAGAAACATAGAAAATCCTATTGACCTATATATATCCGAGTTAAAAATCTCACCAAATGGTGGAACACATTTTAAAAATAATATTTTAACTTTTACTAATTTTCTTAAATTAACCAGCCTTTGTATTTCCTCCCAAACTTATTTTACTTTAGCCACAGATGTCCCAAAATACCAAAAAAAAAAAAAAAAGAAAGAAAAAAAGATGAAAGAAAGAAAAATGTATATTGTGGAAATCACTTTAATAAGGATCTGTTTCTTCTGCCCTTATTTATATTTCTGTTCTTACAATAAGAAGTCAATTTCAAGAACCCATACCTAAAATCATAAGCATAGAGAAAAGGAGATGGGAGAATATCAGTAAGATCTAGGGAGGAGAAGAGATGCAAAATACACAGACATATTAGATGATCTATTGATTCTACCCAAGAAGATATTCAAAATGCTGAACCAGAGAAAGACATGAGGGGGCTTCCCTTCCCTGGTAGCGCAGTGGTTGAGAGTCCGCCTGCCGATGCAGGGGACACGGGTTCGTGCCCCGGTCCAGGAAGATCCCACATGCCGCAGAGCGGCTGGGCCCGTGAGCCATGGCCGCTGAGCCTGCGCGTCCGGAGCCTGTGCTCCACAACGGGAGAGGCCACAACAGTGAGAGGCACGTGTACCGCCCCCCACACACAAAAGAAAAAAAACAGAGAAAGACATGAGGAAATATAAGCATGAAAAATAAAGGCAAAGAAAATGACTGCCATGGTCACACCTTCTCTACTGCTTCAGTTTGAGGAATTCAGGGAGAATAAATTTTATTTTTCTTTTTTTAAAACCTCTAAAACTAAGATAAGTGACTAAAAACATATTTAAGGAGGACTACAGAAGGAAACTATCTCACAAGTCCTGATATGGCTCAATGTTGTACATGGATGTTGCCTTTCAAAATAGATACTAAATGCACATGCTCAGTAACTCAAGCACTGGTCCAGAATAGAGAGAAAAAATACTTAAGACATATGCTGTAACATCCTGAAAAGTGGAGTTTTAGAAGGCAGAGCAACATTTTATTCCCAATCGCCAAAGAATCTTCATAGGAATATCTTTAAATGTTATTTATAACTGATATTCTAAAATAAGTTGTGTAGTGAGATCTTCAAATACTCATCTAGATTGTGTTTCACAAAGAAGCAAGCTCTCAAAGCAGATAACTGTAGGCCTTCCTTAGAGATGGGGTAAGTGAAATACAACATAAAACAGCTTTTCCCGAAGTGCACAGAACCCAAATGCTCTGTGAAAAGGGGCTTGCAGGGTCAAGTAAGTTTGAGAAATGATTACTGGGGATTCCCAATGCATATTAGCATTAATCACTCTGGGAAGTCCTACAGCAAAGTATTCTATTTACCTTTATTTTTTCCAGTATTATTCCTCTAGAAGTCAATTCTTGGGGAAAAAAACAGAACTTTAATGATGTTAAGCTCGGGGTTATATACTAAAGTGAAGAGTCAAAACAATGATTTGGATTCTTCAAGAGAAAACTTGCCATGATTACCCCCAATTTAAAATAATTGAGGGCTTAAATATCCAGATCCCCTTGTCAACTTCTGTCACTCAAGTCATTTACTGAGAGCCTGCTCTGAGCCCAGAGCAATGAAAGAACAGACATAGACTCCCATGCTCCCTGATTCAGCACTCCATGTCTCAGGTGACATTTTTCAAATAGTCTTGAGATCGGAAAAGCATGAAATTGCTTTGCTTTTATAATATTAACATATTTTGGTTAAAGATTGCAAGAATGTGGGGAAAAAAGTTTCGGGGGTGGGGAAATAAACAACTTAAGTGTGTTTGCTTCATTCCCCATTAGTAAGAAAAAATATCTGAATTGAACATCACTTTAAGTTACTCCTTTCCATATATTCATAAAATAATACTTGTAATAATACTTCATTTTATACATCCAGATTATAACTCCTACTTAAAGATTAATACCCAAGACTATTTTATATCCATCATTCAAAAGATGCAAAAAGGTATCTGATGGGGAATCAATCAATCACTGGAATCGAACCCCTAGCAACCATCTACCCAATGGGCCCAGCTTGCTGATTCTGGAATCAGCCATGAATATTAGCAAGCCAACGAGTGCAGGGATTACAGCAATGAGGATGAATGTCAGGTGGAAAGACTAAAATAAGTTTACTTTATCCTTGCTTTTATCTTTTTTTTTTTTTAATAATCTCTGGATTTTTCTAGGACATGTCTGCTATAGTTGATAATAAATTTAGATACAGGAAGTTCTCTCATTCATTCAACAAATATATACTGAGCATCTATTGGGTACCGGTCACCTTGCCAGGTGTGAGATACCAGGTAGGTATGAACAAGATTCATGGGCATACCCCTCTACCATGGAGCACAGTCTAGATCCTTGTTATGCAAAGTGTGGTCCACAGACAGCAGCACTGACATCACCTGAGAGCTTTTTAGAAATGCAGTATCTCAGGCCACAACTCAGCCAACTACTGAATCTGAATCTCCACTTTCATAAGGTCCTCAGGTGATCTGGGTGTTCTAAATGGCTTTAGGTGTCCAACATATACAAGGGACAAGACTGATCAGTGCAAAAGAGACTAGGACAACTTTACTGGCCAAGTACATTTAGAGAAACATGAAGCTACTCTCAAGAGCTATCCAAGTTGGCATAAGTGTACAGCAACCCTAGGAGTAAACTCTCTGGAGAAACTTTGCCAGTAAAGATGCCTTTATTACACTCTTTGTGTTTGCCAAACATTATGTTCCCCTTAAACAGCAAGAAACAGTTTTCAATTCCTCTCTAGGAACTGTGGACGCTGAAATGGTGAGTGGGTGGAATATCAAAAAAAGCAATATCGTTTAGTCACAAAAAGTAACAATTATGTTATTGCTGAGTGTCACAATGTGCTTTCCTTTCAAATACAGGAAGAATTACTGGTTTCATTTTAATATCAGGCCAAGAAAGAAAATACAAGCATTTTTTACAGAGCATGGAACTCGCTGTGATCACATATCGGTCTACGGACATTAATCAACAAACTTAGGGCCAACTGGTTTAAAGAAAAGACGTGATCTAATGTTCAGGAAACATCCCTACATAATTATATTACACTTTATTTAGAATAAAATTCTAGACTACTATAACTGGGTACCACAGAGGCTCTTGAAGGCTTAACTTTTAAAAATCATCTAATTGTAGTTGCAAACATAACTGAGCAGTCTTTGGTCCAGCTATCTGAGTAATGCCCTGCCTTTGGAAGGATTTACTGTGTGGAATTCACCGCAGTTATGTGAGCCCAAGTTAAGCGCTCCACAAAAAAGTCAACTTGGGCCTAAGGCACATTAGGAGGAAAAACAAAAAATCAAAAACTCTTCTTCTTGGCCCTTATCAAACTATAAAAAGATGATGACCTAGATTAGAAGATGACATGGGACACACTGTTTTCTTGTGTTGCTGTTTTTGTGTTTGTTTATTCAGATGGTATCTAATTCTTTAGAGCAAAATGTACACACACAGAATCAGGCTGGGCTAGTTCAAATTAAAAGCAATTAGGGTGTTTTTTATTTTAAATTTATTTATTTATTTATTTTTGGCTGCGTTGGGTCTTCGTTGCTGCACGCAGGCTTTCTCTAGTTACAGAGAACGGGGGCTACTCTTCGTTGCGGTGCATGGGCTTCTCACTACGGTGGTTTCTCTTGTTGCGGAGCATGGGCTCTAGGCGCCCAGGCTTCAATAGCTGTGGCTCACGGGCTCTAGAGCGCAGGCTCAGTAGTTGTGGAGCATGGGCTTTGTTGCTCCACGGCATGTGGGATCTTCCCGAACCAGGTCTCGAACCCGCGTCCCCTGTATTGGCAGGCAGATTCTTAACCACTGTGCCACCAGGGAAGCCCAATTAGGGTGTTTTGATGTTTCTTTTCATGGTCTCATTGGCCTACTTCTGACTCAATCTTCATGAAGTCCATGCCCCAGGCATGCATCCTGCTGTCCTATCTCTGTACACATTACTAATGACACACAGGGAGAAGATATGACTCTAGTGGTTCTTGCTGCACACTATGTGACTTATGAGGTTTTGGTCTCTATGTATTAATTTGTTGTTGTTGTTAACAGACTCATGTCTAACAAAAAGAGCTAAAGATAAAACAATCCAACTGACCCTTAGAAAGTCACAAACCTGGATGCAAATCAGTTTTTTATGTCTTTGGGCAAGATACTGAGCTTTCCAGAAATAAGACTGTGCTCAAGAGCATGTTATGAAAATTACAAGTGATCTGTAATGCATGAAAAGTACCTATCATGGAACTCCCTCAAGAGAATAAAGGGTTGCCATTATAAGCCAACAATAGTATAGAAGTCCCTATCCATCCCCCAGTTCGGTGAGGTACACATGTAAAAGACAGTAGCTTCTATTTTTATTCCACCCTGTTTATCTTCCTGCGTTCCTAACCTTGCTAATCCTATAACCTAAGGTTGTTATGAGACTTAAATGAGTGACAACATGCACACCTTCCAGTATAATACCTAACACACACTACATGCTCTATCCTTCCTTCCTGTTTCCAGCTGTGGCAGTAGCTGTTTCTTTTTTGTCTATTTGCTCAACTTCTTTTTCTTTTAGGAACTACATCTCCCCAACTCCCTGTGGTTTTAGTGGGGTTTTCTAGTCTGACCCACAGTGGCAAGCACCATGGATCCTCTGGACGCTGACTGATCCAGGGGTGAATTCATTAAGCCATCAAGGCCAATCAGAGTTCTTTGAGGGGACTGACACAAAATCAAGGACCTCTCCTTTTGTGAGATTATGAATGATAAGAAAAATATGGGCCTGTGGCTGGTTGTGGCCTTCTGTGATACCATGTATTAAGAATTTGCCTGGGCTTCCCTGGTGGCACAGTGGTTGGGAGTCCACCTGCCGATGCAGGGGACACGGGTTTGTGCCCCGGTCCAGGAGGATCCCACATGCCACAGAGTGGCTAGGCCCGTGAGCCATGGCCGCTGAGCCTGCGCGTCCAGAGCCTGTGCTCTGCAGCGGGAGAGGCCACAACAGTGAGAGGCCCACGTACCGCACAAAAAAAAAGAATCTGCCTAAATGATGGGGCCTTATAATATCATTTGAACAGCTAGGTCTATCTGAATCATCTACTCTCCATAACATCAAAATACAGTAGCAGGGTTTCATTCACTTGTAACCAGAAGAGTACAATACACAAGAAACAGTGTGAAAGATAACAAAAAATATAGTTAGATATAATATTTTATAAGAACACAGGCAAGTCAGAAATGGGCAATACCACCATAGAAGAGTCAAGAAATCTCCAGAAAGCACAGGACTCTAATATGGGATATGGAGATAGATAAGAACAAGATTATCAAGAAAATTAAATGTTTTCCAGCCAGAAGTAATAATACTTGCAAAGTCGAGAGCACTCAATGTGATGTCCAGCACATAATATTTAATTAATATAAGTTGAAGGAATAACAGAACAAGTATGGACCATGTATCAAGGAAGAGTAAGACAGGACTGATTAAAAAGTATAGATCACTTTTAGTTGCAGTGAAGTAGGAAATAAAAGGAAGATGGGGCTGAATGATAAGCAGTCTTCAGAATCAAGCAAGGAGTCTGCACTTGAATCTGACTGGGAATCATTTATAAACTGGTAAAAAGAAGGCAATAAGGGGCTTCCCTGGTGGCGCAGTGGTTTAGAGTCCGCCTGCCGACGCAGGGGACATGGGTTCGTGCCCCGGTCCGGGAAGATCCCACATGCCGTGGAGCGGCTGGGCCCGTGAGCCATGGCCGCTGAGCCTGCGTGTCCGGAGCCTGTGTTCCGCAACGGGAGAGGCCACAACAGTGAGAGGTCCGCGTACCGCAAAAAAAAAAAAAAAAAAAGAAGGCAATAAGATGGCTTCGGGAAGTTAATAATAAAAACCAAAGCTAAAATGGAAGTTGCAACACTAGAAATGATGGTGAAAGAATTCTCAGATATAGTTGAGAATCAAGTATAGTAAAAACAGTGGAGGAATCACCAAAAGAAAGATGAGTAAAAATTGATGGAAATCATGAACAGATGCCACCTGGAGCACAGAAACCAGGTCTGGCAAGTCCCTGTGTGGACAGGGGTTAACTCTTTAGTTGCTGGATTTGGGGGGTCCCAGGGTAAGAGCTAGAGTGGGACGGGTACTCTGAGGGTTTGGGGTAACCATAGAACTATTTCAATATTTTAACAATCAGTATAGCTATACCTATGCCTCTCAGTTGAGTATCAGCCCTACATAGAAAGCTGCTGCAATTAATAGCGAGAGTTTCCTACGTTTCCAATGCATGGAAGGGAGCACTGGCTAACCCAAAATCACATCCATGTGCCTGTGAGACAGCCTAATACAGAGCCTCTCCAGTACCAACCTGTGGACTAGGTGCATCAGAAACTACTTTTTTGTGATTGTGTGTGTGTGTGTGTGTGTGTGTGTGCGTGTGTGTGTGTGTGTGTTTTAACTAACAATGACTTGGCCTCTAAAGACATTCCCTTTAAGGACAGGGTGACACAAAGCTCTGTATCTATTTGCAATTTCCTTGGGCTGGGGAAAAACACATCAAAAGATTTTTTTTATGCCTACATTTTCTTCCCCATTTATGCTACAATATAAATATGTATGCATTATCTGAATATACAGACAGGAATAGCATAGGACAGAAGCAAACAATGTTTCTCCATTCTGGTACTAAAAACGGATTAATAACAACATCAGCATGTTGTTGTATAGAACAATAACAACATGTGTACTGATTACTAAGGCAAGCACTGTGCTAGAAAATCTCATTTAATCTTGCCCATAACCCTATGAATTAAGTATTTATTTTACCTACTTTATAGGTCAGGATATCCAGAAAAGGGAAATAACTTGCCTAAGATTTTCTCTTTTGTTGAAATAACTTTCTGGACTCAAGAGGGTGCCTTATCAACAAACCAAAACTTTTAACTTCCATGTGCCTGTAAATGTTCTACTAGACCAGAAACACAGTATATCCAGTCAGCCAACCCCCAAACACTAAACCAACTCTGGGCTCGGAACTTATTCCCTTATTCCTTTTCACCTCAAACTAGGTTGACTATGCCGCCCCAGCCAATCAGATGCTTTCTATTTTTCTCTTCCTTGTTCTCTTTTCCTTATCCTGTAAAACCTTCCTACCTTCCACCCCATTTTGCAGTTCTCCAAATGAAGACTGCCTGCTTCATGATAACACTTCATGAAGTGCTTGTTTGTATCACCGTAATTATCTTCTCTAATCATTTTTTAAACACCTTTCACAAACTGGAATGATTCCCTCCACATAGCCTTCTCTTGAATAGGAGTGAGGAGGCCACACACTGTGACCTTGCTGTTCCCAGGACAATCTCAGGACAGACTGGCCTCAGAGACAGTCAGCCACCTAGAAGC